CGCGGCGGGCCAATGGGCGCGGGGCGCGCGTGCGCGGCGGGCGCGCGTCGCGGGCTGAGGCGGAGGGAGGGGGTAAGATGGCGGCGCCCGTCCTGCTGCGAGTGTCGGTGCCGCGCTGGGAGCGAGTGGCCCGCTCCGTCGTGTGCGCGGCCGGCATCCTCCTCTCCCTCTACGCCTGCTACGTGGAGCGCGAGAAGGGTCGCGACCACCACTACCAGGCGCTGTGCGACCTCACCGAGCGGGTGCGCTGCTCCGTCGCCATCTCCTCCAGGTGAAGCGGGGCTGGGAGCCACCGCCGTCGCCTCAGGCCGCGGCGGGAAGCAGGGCCGAGCGCGGCTCTCTGAGGGGGCGGCGGGAGCCGGGGGCCCTGAGGCAATCGAGGTCGCGGCGGCAACGTCTGCTGGGCCCGGGGCGGCGGGACGAGCAGGAGGATTCCCGGCCGAGCAAGGAATTCCTGGCGGTGGGAATTGTCTTGCCCGAGATCCCTGAGGCGGGAGGGCGAGGCCCTTGCGGTGCCCGTGTGGTAATCCTGGGCGGTTAAGGAGAGTGATATGAGCTCAGGGTAAATATACCTTAGAATGCAGTGCTGTAGGCGTGATGATGAGGCTAACATAAACACATGCAATCACAGCTAACATTTAATCATAATTTAATAGGGGCATCTGCACTGCTTTTTCCTTATAGCATTCTCAGCAGTGTGTGTGAGTGTGCTTAATTCAGGGAATACTTGTGTGTCTCAGCAGTAAAAGCCTCCTGCAAGTCTAGGTTTATTTTACATGTTTCTCATCAGCAATAAAACTACTTTGCAGATTTTTTTTTTTCCCTTTCCCTAAAGGCCAGCGGCCTCCTGTTACGTCTTTTAAGAGTCGGAATATCAATCTTAAGAATATGTTGCTAGCTTGATTTCTTGTTCAACAGCTGAAGAATTTAATCATATTAATGGGAATTTATTTGCTGTTTGCTTACACATATCATCTTTGTAAATATTCTACATGAAATGTTTCCAGGTGTTACTAGGTTAGGAAATGCTTCCTAAAAATATATCCTTATGTATCTCAGCTAGAGGAATAGCAATGTTGTCCAGCCATATCAAAACTGATCTGTGGGTGTATGCTGATTTCACGAGTGTGTTTGTGTATACACATACATGTGGATGGGAAGAGGTAAGGAGCTGGAAAGGGGTGGGTTTGGGTTCTTCAGGAGATGTTTTTAGTAAGCCCTTGAAACAGCTTCTTTCTGTTGGGAAAAGGAGAATTTTGATAATTTCATGATAACACGGCATAACTAGTGATCATATGATAGTGGAATGACTACTTGAGTCTCTTTTCCTTCTTCTGTTTAACTTACATTTAAGCTATTATAATTCTTACAAAGGCACTTGGTATGTTACCATAACAACATTATATGGGAGAACACACCTGTAATCTCTGAGGGTGGAAACTGGCTAATTTGTTTAACCAAAACATGTAGGGAGCTCTAATTCTTAAGACCAGCTCTGTGGTATTGTGTTGCATTACAAGGAGATGTATGTCTACAGATGTTTGAAAGGAGGTTCTTGTGTTTTAATGAGGGTTTTAACTCTGTTTTTCTGTTTCTCATCAGATAATCTTCAGTTTATGAAGATGCTAGTTCTTGTCTCTTCTAAAGAGTTGTTTAAAAATAAGAAATTTCAATTTAAAAAGGTTTAAGTGATCGCTTGGTGACTTAAGCACATACATTAAAATGATGTGTAGGTTACTGACATAAGCCATGCAAGCATTGTTAGTAATCTTAACTTTCAAAACTTCTATAGAGATGTTCTTAAATAAATAAACAAAAACAGGGATTTGATTGTATGTCTTTAAGCACCTAGGTAACAGGAAATCTGTGTGTGTGTTTATGTAGGGCTGGACCTTCGTTATCTTATTATTATAAATTCTGTGTCAAGCATTAATACCTCTTTATGAAGAGCTTTGAATAAGCGAAGTAGTTCCAGTTACATCTTTAGATAATTACAGTTTTCATTGTTGTTGCTGCAGTTGAAGTATTGAATATGCCATGGTAAGGCCTGTAAATATTCTATTGTGGGGATTCGGTATCGTAATATGAAAACGTAAGGATAACATCAACTGAAATTTAACTAGCTGTTGCTAGGAGAATCCTGGCCAAAGATTAAAGTACTGTAAATGTCAAGATAGCTCATGATAACTGGAGCAGGTGGGTAAAGGAGTCTGTAAAAGGAGTGTGCAAGTTCTGTTCAGCCAAACCATATTTGGAGAAGAATATGCTTTCAGCTCTGCACGGGACGCAGACCAGAAAGGAATATTCCTTTAAAACTAAGGGAACAGGACAAATGATTTAACTTGAAAAGCAATTCATCTGCCTTTCTGTGGTGCCATGTCTTCCTATCCTTCACCCAGTCTCCCTACCCTCTTGGCCACTTACTCATCCTTATCTCTACCAGTATGTGCCAAAGTTTCTTTGGGTCTTGATTTATAAAAGAAACCTTTGAATTCCACAGGAACAGTAAAAATTCAAAACCTGGTAATTGCAACATTTTTGCATATAACACAAATCTAACTTTCAGATATATCTTTTCCTATTATTGTGCTGATAGTTCTAATAATTATTTGATTAGCTGTGTATAGTCAACTTCTACAATGTTAAATGTGGAAAAACTTGTTTTAGCAGCTCCAAGAACATTCATTCTGTTGTGTGACCTTTTATTTAGGCTGAATTTGCTGGTGGAATTTGCAGTGTAATAACCTTTTATGCCTTGAAGTTTAGCATATTGACTCCAACAGCAGATTATACTTCAAAAAGCACATCATGGTATTGGGATTAATCCCAAATGTAGAGATTAGATTAAATTAATGTATACTGTCTGAGCTGAGTTACTTTGGAACTGGTCTTTGGGGAAGCTTTTTTTTCCACTAGTAAGCTGTTCGTGCTCCCAAGTCTTGCCCTTAATCCAAATCTAGTATTGGCACAATGATGAGAGCAGAAATGTTGTAAAGATTACCATTGTGCAGAGGGAGGAGCATGGAAAATCTTATATCAGAGACTGACTCATCCAGAAGATTATACTGGAGAACTGCCTTTGTAGTATCTCTTATTATTCAAAATATTCATGTTCAGCATATTTCAAGCTATTATCCTGGCAAAAGTTCACAAAGTGGTTTAAAAAGAAAAACAACTCGGGACAATACTATGATCACTGTCACTTTTCAAGAAGAAAGCGAGACACAAGGAAATAACTAACATTTTCATTTGGCAATTGCTTTAGTTGTTTTAAGTGAATTGCTCTCCTACTTAGGAATAATTAACTGACAAGAATGGCTTTATAATGAAACTATCTAATAGCAATTACCATAAGATCTTTTTACATTGACTGTTGTAATTCTTTTGCAGATGGAATTAAGCTAATAGACAAATTTCAAATAATATTGTTGGTGGGATGACTTGAAATAAGAAGTGAAATTTGAGTTGGAATGCAGTGACCCTGAGCTTTGTGTTTTGTTATTTGCATGCCACAGGTGGCTTTCAGGTCTTCTAATATGCTCCTACTTTCTGTCTTGATTTAATTTTCCTGCAGAACAGGCCGTTAAATGACTGCTACTGAAGGAAAATGTGTGGCCGCGATGTGTTAAGTCTGTTTTTAAAATGTTACAACATTATGGTAGCTATGCTAAGCTACCGTGATGACCAAAGGGCAGATGTCTCTGTATATCTTGAGCAATATTTGCAGCTTTCAGCCAACTGTGCAAGTGGAGAGGTTTGGAAATAGTCAATATTGACCAAGGTTAACATCTCTAGCTGGCTTGTTGAAGAAATGCTAAAGTAACAACAAGGTTTTAAGAATCGTTATTCATTTGGATAAAACTTGATGAACGGGTTCTTTTAGGCATTCCCTATGCTGAGCTTTGTGATAATCTGGGAGGCTTTAGATTGCCTGTCATCTTCTACTTGAGTCACTGACTATTCTGAAGGTGCAATAGGCATATATATATATATATTTAATGGATGTGCCAATATAATTAGCTGATGGTACTTGAAAATGTGTATCAGTAAAATCTTGCTTCTCTTGCGGAGAGGCTTGTACAGATACACAGCTCTTGTAGTGGATTTGCCAAGGCCCCATGACAACTGTAGTAGTGCATTGCTCTGCTTGCCTTCATAAATTATTTTAAACAATCAGTTCCGATTTGTGTAAATATTATGGTTAAGCTGCTCTGTAGTATGGCATAGTACTTCAGTTCCACGTTTTGTGAAGATTTGGGTGTATAAGTTGAAATTGCATCCCTTTTCTGCAGAGAAACAGTATAATGAAGCTGAACATTTTTTACCAGCAGTGTGTGTTTGTTTCCCAGGGAAGCCCCCACCTTGTTCCCATTATTATTCTGGTGCAGCTTCGGAGTGTGGACTATAACAAAGATGAAGTTGACAAGAACAGCCTCTTGATCTAAACAAATGGGACATGAAGCAAAACTTCTGGCCTCAAACCTAACCTGATGTTTATATTACAGGTTCCCATTCAGTTCTGTCGTGGGACAGTTCCTGTAAACTTGATGTCTGTCAAGTTTGCTTGATTCCAGGTTAACACCTTCATATAGCAGTTATCTTTGATTTCAATAGTTTCTGATGTCCTGGCTTCCCTTTTCCTGTTGTACCTGATAGCAAGTGTGCAGATATATTTGAGATTGATAACTGCAGTTGCTAGTGACCGATGTAAGGTGAAAAATGGTGAAGATAGTGTTATACAGAAAGTGGGAAAAGCTTACGAAGTTGCTTCTTGTGAACAAGCATAGGCAAATAAGGCTCAAGAGCTTTCTGAATTAACTTATTTTTAATTACTAATTTTTACTTATTTTGACTGGCTTTTTGCTGGTCATCAATCTTTTTAACCTGGGACAAGATGCTGTTTTTTGTCAGGCATCTTTGTTTCTGCACAGAAAATGATAGAACCTTGATTAAGCCGCTGAAAGATGGTATGTGAAACACCTGGTGATCGTTCAAAGTGAGTCATATTTGGGATTCTTAAACTGTCAAAGTAAGTTGTTACTGAAAATGTAGCCCTTTGAGTCTGAGCTGGAATTTGTCCAGTGGTTTAAAATTAACGGGTGTGCATTTGAAGTCTGCAGATTACTACATAGCAAATATAAGGCTGCTTTTGTAGTTATTCTGTAGAAAAGTTGGTCATTTTTGCTCTTGGAGGAAAATATTTAGGATCTCTAGTATTGTATTGATTGCACAGGGGGAGATGAGTGAAGACACAACCTGTCTTGTGAGCCAAGTGCTCTGCCTCAAAGCACTGCAGATTAAATACGCTGATGAATTTCAGTGAATTGGCCTAACTGTAGCCAGCTGGGTACTGCACAAGCTTTACAGCTGAGGATACTGAGCCAAAAAAATTGAATCTTTAGGCTAGGATGTGTCATGTTGTTTCTGAATTTTTATCCTGATTTCTAGAAAAAAAAGCACCTGTCTTGTATATGCATTGCTAATTTCTAGTAATCTGTAGATTTTTATGGCAACACTTAAAGAACAGGGTTTTCTGAAGTTCTATGGAAACAAAATGAATGTAAAAGGGGAGAGGAGATGATTTAAAGGAATGTTCCTGCTCAGGGGCAAAAATATAGTGTGAGTTCAAGTTGTCAGTCCTCTTTGGTCCGTCAGTCAGGCAGTGAGTGCACATGTAGCTAGGACTCAGGCAGGACTGATAGGTCATGGACTCGATTGAGAAGAGGGAGTTGCAAAAAGGCTGGAGGATGTGAACTGAGAGTGAGTTTTGTTTGCTGGGGAAGGAAGGTGTTACAGGATCACTTACAGAAAACCAGCTTAATTCTAAAAGATTATTTTTTCTAAAACAGCAGAAGTTAATCATTCAAATCATTGTCTTTATATATTTCTATATATATATTTTTTTCCTTTAGGGAAAATGGCTTAATACTTCAGATTGAAATAATATATACTGGCTGAGGCTGCGCCTTTCATAAGATACACAAATCTCATTTCTATATAAGATCTTTTATAACTCTCCAGTCAGAAATCAGTAGCAGTACATAGTAGATTTTGGTCTGTTTTTTAGCTTATTGTGCAATCGACTATTTTAATGTAGTTTATTTGACTTAATATTTTATATTCAAAAAGCACCAATATGAGTCAACAATAGTCAGTTCTGATGAAATAGAATCTTTACAAAGCAGGTAAGTTCCCTGAAGAACTTCTGAGTAGTTTATAGTCCTTGTGCCTCATAAGGCTTGTGCTGACCTCTTATTACTTTGGGAGTTTGTTTTAATCTTGGGTCTACAATCTTTCTTTTTGCTGTTTGTTTTCCATATGTTTTTAAACTTTCAAAGTTATCGTAAGTCAAATATGAGTAGGAAGATTTTATGACATTCATTCAGAGTTCTCTACCCGCTTGCTTGCAAAAATACTTGGTTGCTTATTTGTTTTAGTGTTTTTAGAGACCTTGATAGAATTAGGGAATGAAATGATCTATTTCTTAGAGAAATTAGATAGAAATAAACCAAGTCTAAAATTGGCATTTTAGTTTGTAGAAAATTTCCTCACATATGAAGTTCTCTAAAGCTGAAAAAAAAAAGAATGCAGTGCAGCTTGAATGACAGGATTCTCTGCTATTTCTGAGAGTGTGGAATAAAATGCAGGATTTAAGCTGTCCTCTGAGGACTGAAAAATAATACCTGATGTCTTTAAACCTGCTGCAAGGCCAACAAGATACTTGTGAACTGTTGCAGGAGGGAAATAGTTTTGCCATAGTTTTGTTGCAGCTGTGAACACATCACTTGGGGCCACTGACTGCCCTAAAGGGCTCAGGCTCATTATCTTTCCATTAGCAATGTTTTATTGACTTGCAGGATAACAGCAACCTAACAGCCTCTAGTCCAAAGTTTCTGATGTTTTAAACTTGAGTTCTTTCTCAAGCATGATGTAATAGCAGACTGCTAAACATCAGAGATGCTTTCTCTGAAGAAAAACCTAGTTTTCTGTCCTTGCAAAACTATTTTGTGAAAGTGCCCTTCATTCAGTAGTCAGATCAGTGAAGAGTCTCTGGCAATTCAAAATGCGCCAGAGTTGACCTCCGATCAGATTGTGCCAGAATTGTAAATTTACGAGTGCAGGGTAAATGCTTATCTGAAAGTGATGTAAGGTTTGGAGTGTTGTTCCATAGCGCCTTAGGACAATTCGGGCACCAGCTGTTGCACGTAGATCTTCTGAGATGGTGCAAGAGTGCGTCTTGAGCCCCCGTGCTCAGCTGTTTCAGCATGCTCAGCTGGCAGAAAATAACTCTGTTTTATTGTTAGCATTTTGCTGACTCATTTGGATGAAATAGTTCAACACAGGATCAGAATAAGTGAGAGCATTGAGCCAGAGCAGAGAGGGTAGACCTCAGCATCCTGCGGTTAGATTGACCTTGGCTGATGAAGCCACAGTTTCAGTTGCACTTGGAGTTACCCTGTTCAGTCCATTAGAAAGGAAGGGAAAGGAAGGGTGTGTTAAATGGAGTTTAACATCACCCTACAAAGAATTCCAGCTTGGAAATTAGAACATTTCAATAGTGCTTGTATACAGCCAGCTGAATGTAATATAGCAAGCTCAAAATCATCTGTTAAAGTGCAAAACGGCAATACTTTTAATGTATCTATCTGGGTGCTTGACACTGCATTTAGTGTTTGGGCATTCTGTCAGTTATCAAACATGTTGTGGCTGTTTCATGAAAGTGAGGTTTTAAATGAAGTTTAATCTGTAAAAAAGTTTATTTTTTTAAAACTTTAAAAAACTTTTAAATGCAGATAAATGTCTGTAGGTGGAAAGTCAGATCCTATCGGAGAATGATTCTGCTGAACTCAACTGCAGCTTTGTAATGCTGATTCATCCACAAGCCATCCTCAAAGATGGCAAGGACTATAAACTGCTTTATGCTTCGGGGCCCATTTGTAACCAGCAGTGTCCCTCATAATTTGCATTAGGGCCACATTTGTCCTGGAATCCCTGTCCTGAGGGATGATCACCTTGCTTTTCCAGAGAGAAGTTAATGTTGCCTTTTTCTAAGCCTTCCATCGTGCTGGGACGTGGGGCAGTGTAACGGTGCTGAAGCAAGTGTTATTCTTGTAGACCCCCTCACTGTAAAGGTGACGTGTGCTGCCCTGAAGCTTGTGAATCTAGAAGTTGTCAGTATGTCAAATGCTTTAGCCCGTGCATCACTGATATATATGGGTTTTTGTTGTTTTTTTTTTTATTTAGTGTACCTCTGTTGCAAGCTGGCGAAATGATGAATGAAGATACTGATGTAAAGCATAATGTGCCCAAATACAATTTAATTGGTTTCCCTGTTTTACAGATGGGGTCGAGGATTTGGTGTGTTGGGTTCCATCTTTGGAAAAGACAGTTTAATAAATCAGCCAAACAGTGTTTATGGACTTGTGTTTTATATACTACAAATGTTGCTTGGTAAGTATTAATGCAGCTTACAGTCTAAAATGTGTAACAAGGCTATAGTAGTAAAAGAAATATGTGTTATGCATTGCAGAGTTTACAGGAAAATAGATAAAACGCAGGTGACTTTTACCGTCTTTTTAGCACCAGTCAATTAGTTCATTTGTGCACAGGGCTTAAAAACCCAACTGATAAAAGAGCAATCTCGCTTGTTTCTGCTATGCTATTAATAATGTAAGCATCAAGACCTTTTTGCATAAATATATACAACATATATATTCAGGATAGAAAAAGGGGGGGACAAAAATGAACATGTTTTGTAAGAGTAGTATGGATAGTAGTTGAATGAACGTGTGCAACGTAGTCCATTAAAGTATATGCGAATTCCTCTAGCTGCATAACCACTAGTAACGTTAGCATTATTAATTGTCAAGTGGTTATATGGTTATAAGTGGTTATATTAGTGGTTGTAAGTGGTTATTAATGGTTATAAGTTGACTAACTTAAGTCCTTTTCCTATAATTCAGGAATATGGAAGATGGTAACTATTACACATGCCTCTTACCCAAGACTGTTGTAGAGAGCCTAGAAGTGTCACTCCAAATAGCAATTTGTCAGTCACCTTGGAGTCCTGGTATTTTGAAAAGATTTGTATGTTGTGCAAACTTCCAAGTAGCCTTGGGTTTGAGTTCAAGTTTTTAGGCTTTGCTGTGTGAAATGAGAGCAGTGATAGTAACTTTCTCTCTCTTGTTGCAGGTATGACAGCAAGTGCAGTAGCAGCTCTGATCCTCATGACATCCTCCATAGTGTCTGTAGTAGGGTCTTTATACTTGGCCTATATTCTGTACTTCGTGCTGAAGGAATTTTGCATTGTCTGCGTCATCACATATTTCCTGAACTTCATTCTCTTTATCATCAACTACAAACGACTAGTTTATTTGAACGAGGCCTGGAAACGGCAACTCCAACCCAAACAGGAATAAGGCCTGTTTGAACTTTTGACTGACAGTCTGAAGACCCAACTTCCATTAAGTTTATTTTGCAGTAATTTTTTATTCTTCATATCAGAAACTTTCCCTGAGAATCATAACTGAATTTTTAATTATAAATTGGAAGGGGCCCTAGATAACTTTTTTTTTTGTGCTAACATTGAATTTAAATGTGGTTATGAAAGAAAGCTCTAATACAATCAAAGACAAGCTTTAACTTTACTTTAAAGGAGTTTCAGCCACAGCAAAACTAGACTCTCCCTCCGCCCCCTCCACTTGTGCAGTGGGTAACACTTGCTTCAAAATATCCTGTATATAAATTCAGTTTCAGGTATAACAAGATGTGATCATGACATTAAATATTCTAGAATAGGATTACCATATTTAATGTTGCCATGTTTACAGTATGTGTATTACATTTTTTTTTTAAGCTGATGGACTTAGATTTGACTAGGACTTACACTGTAAATAAAACTAGAGATACTGGTTTCATCCCTGGAGAACTCACTGTACAATCAGTTTTGTTAGCCTGGGAGACTTCAGAGTGTTCAGCTCAGAGGTGATGGACACGGTGGAAGGAGTGACCTCTATAGAGAAAACATTGCTGCACTCACTGCTAGTGCTTTCTTAAAAAAAAAAAAAAAAAAAAAAAGAATACACGATTGGGTTTTGCTCCTTCTTTCTTTCTTTCTTTTCCTTCCACTAATGAAAATGGGAAAGCTGAAACCTGAAGTATGCCCTTTAAACCCACAATTTCATTAAGTTCTGTTCAGAATGAAAATAACTAAATGTGGTCAATGGAAAGCTACCATCGGGATATTATATACAGATCGGGGGGTTGTGTGTCAGAGATCTCATTGAAATGGCTTAATTTCCATGCAGAGTTATGTTTTCATTTTAAAGTGCTGTCAGGCAGCCAGTGTTACTAATGTTTGATGTTATATGAATGCTGCAGTATAGGATTGCAAGTTGCAGTGGAAACCACTGACTGAGTGGGATAGCCAAGTCGTGCACTGAATAAGCAGATACTTAATTGATCTTGGTCAGGATCTTTGGTTTGTGCTATATTGGGAAATGAACTTTAGGACAGACGCACATAAGGTCCCTTGGAAGGGCCGTCTGTTTAATGAGATAAGTAAATGTGCTCCTGAAAATGACATGTGATAGTGCTATCATTGCTCTTTCTAATAACTAATTATAAAAAAAAAAAAAAGAGGGAAAAAATAGAAGAAATTATACTGATTTAAGCACCTGAACAAAATTGTAAATGTTCTTTCTGCACTCAGTATTCTAAGGCTGAATGTTAAAAGTGCCTTCTGTCTTGAAATCTTAAACCAAATATTTTGTGGTGAACTTGGCAGGCAGAAGTTCCTGGCTTGAAAAAATGAACAAACAAAAAGGGAGAGGGGAAAAAAAAAAGGCAACAAAATTGCTGGGCATAGGAAGGTATTCTGATATCTATTCTAGTTTTTAGACTGAGAAGTGGTAGCAATATTGTTTCGGTTAACTCAGTGTGACAGAAGGTTGATGCCATGATTCAGAAAAGTGAAATCCTTCTGTTTCGAACTCTGTGACAGCAAAACAAAAAGTTTGGCTGCTTTTTGTAATTGGTGCTGTGCTGCTTCTTGCCCTTGTCAGCTTCTAAATATGAAGAGTTCCAACTGCATACCCATTTATTTAAAGAGTTAGTTAAACTAGTCTAGTTTTGTTCTTAAACATGAATGTCTAAGAGACACTTATGCTGTATTGCTAAGTGAATTTTAAACACTAAGTTGCTGAGGATAAACTTGACTGTGAAACATGCAGCGTTCAGTAGAGAAGATAGGATTTTTAGACTCAATTCGCAAATTAGTATTTAAATTACTACGGAGGTAATTTTCTGGTTTGTATCCAGGATGTAGGTGGAAACTGCTTTGTGTATAAAGTTCTGTGGTATGAGTAACATCTGTTGCATGTAACACTAAATTACTTGTCCCTCTTGTCTAACGATTTTGGACAACAATTCATTTTGTATTGACCAGAGTATAGTTAAAGCTTGTCTTGATGTTTAGTTCTGTCTCTTAAATGCCTTGAACTTTGATGTGGAAGGAGTGGACAATGTTAAACTGGTCCCTCAAGGCTTTACCCTGTCCTTGTACATGCCTTGAGGCAATACTGCTGTTTCACGCGTTGTATGGATTTGTTTTGATGCATTCCTATGATCTACACTAAGGCATCTTTTCATCCAAGGAAGAGGTGAACACGTGCAGCCTGAAATGGTTAGTCGCAGTGTTAATACCTCAGAGCAAGCAGCAATGGAGACAAGTATGATCAGTGATTACTTGGTCCGATTTCTGGTTTAATCTACAACAAAAAAAAAAGGAGAAAAAGAAAAAAAAAAAGAAAAAAGAAAAAAAAAGCCCCATCAACTGAAAGTTAAGTGTTGACTAACTTCACTGTCTTGTGCTTGTCTGTGTGGGCATAGTCTGTTAATTCAGTTTGTTGAGTAAAATTGTTTAGGGCCAGATTTTCAGCGTTTATGTCTGCAGTCCTCGTTTGTGTGCACAGAGGGATCAAATGCAAAATTAGTTTGGTCTCTGGAAGAATTTACAGCGCTACGTTGTGCACGATCTTGCAGTTCTGATCCTTAATTGTAAACTTTTGTCTCGTGTGCTTTTCTTACAGTTACTTTTTACTGGAAGTGATTTGCTACAAATGGCCCTAATTCTTCTACTTTCGTGCTTCAGAAACGGAGTTGGCGTGAATAAAGGGCAAAATAATACTAGCAGTAGAAATTTGGACCTTTTTGCTTCCAGTTCTTTGACTCTTTCCTCATTGCTGCCAACGATAGAAACAGCCTATTTCTTCCAGTAAAATGGCTCAGGTTACGATTAGGAATGTGACAGAAATCAGACAAGTGCTTCATGCAACTGCCCCCCTCCTGGCCCAGCCAAAACAACTGATGGCAAGTATGTGTTTGATGCTAATTTGACCTTTGCAAAACAATGTAACATACGGGATCTTCCAGGGAAATCTTGAGGATATGGGAGAAAGGCTACCTGCTAGTAAGTAATAGCTGGTTTGGGGGAGAGATGATGGGCAGCTTTGTTACAGATTCTAGTTGTGGTTTTAACACTCATGAGAATTTGGCAGGGGGAAAGTTGGGGAGGAAAAAAAAACGACAAATGGTGTTTCTGAATTTGGGACACTGCTTTCCTCCTTTGCTCTCAGAAGTTCTGCAGGGAGGGCTGGTTGGGGAGGCAAAGAAATGAAATCCCAAAACTTGTTTAGGAAGTAAACATTCCTGAAATCCTTTTACTGTAAGGTACTTGCTACTCCTAAGGCCAACGAAGCATTCAAGTCTCATTTAGAAAACGAATGTTCCTGAAAGATTCTTACTGTAAAGTATTTGCAATTCGTAAGGCCAATGAAACATTCCCTACCACCTTTGATGTCCGAGGTGAGGATGGATTTCTCTAATTGGGAGATTTCTGCATACTGTAGTATGTATTTGTCTTCTGCTGTACAGTGTCTCTTGATCATTCAGAAAGATAGGCAAGGTGCTTCAGGCAGCACTTGGGGCCCCAAATTTGTATGGGCTGAAACTCAGGAGGTCTAGTAATTTTGGTTCTGCCAATGTTTAAACACCATCTAGAGAAAACTGGTCCAGAAAAGACGAAGTATTGTTACCATAAAACTGTATTAAGCATGGCCTAAATATTGGGTGTTTGTTCTGTATAGTATGTTCCATCGACTATTTATTACTAGTGCTTTAAACTCCAGATTAAACATCCATTTAAGTGGAGTCACTGGGCAGATGTTCCTTTTATCAATATAGGTTGAGAGATTCTCTATTGGAGGTTTAGGATACAATTTTGCTAACAGGTAAAACAATGTAAATATGTATGAATTTTATTTGTTGCACATAACTTTTTTGGTATAAAAAAATAAATGTAGAAATTATCTGTGGATGTCTTGCTGCAATCATTCTTATGCTGCATTCATGCAGTCCAAACATAAGAGCTTGAATGAACCCAATCAGAGGCCTTTTTGGACTCAGTCTGAGCCTTAGAAACTGTTTTTAAAGTCAGTACTGTAATCCTGTTTCTGGAAATGTATTAAGTTGTGGTATCCTTTTTTCAAAGAAGTTGTATGTTAGCAGTAAATGGGCTATAGCACTCGGATCCCCGGAGATAACCGGTTTCTAGAATTCCTGCAGCTTCCTTGTGTGTTGCTGAATGTCGTGCGCACGTGGGTGCAGCAGGGTTGAGCGGCGCTGACGGGAGGCTTTACTTTTATGGGTCTTTAAGCAACATGCAAAAAAAAGGTGTGTTTTAAGCACTTCCTGCTTTCCTTTGTTCTGTAGGTCTGTCCGCTTCAGCTGCGCTCTGACAAGATCACAAAGTATTGGAAAACTGCTATATATTTTTCCTGGGTATTGGGAAGGGGAAAGGGGGTACATTGCGAAAGGGTTGGAAAAGTGGGTTGAGCTTAAAATTGCACTGAGCTGTTAAGAACATAAGCAGGAAATGAGACTCTGACATGTGTGCTTGCCATAAATGTGGGTATTAAACTCTGCATCTGTCTTATTGGACTGAATGAAAGTAGAGCTTTCTCTTCCTCAAGTCCTGTGTATATCATAGGGACCCGAGCCCTGGTTTGTACCGTGTTAACCTTGTCAAATATCTGTGTTTTTATGTGGCTGCTGTTGGTACGTTATGCTGTCAGCGTGGGGAATGAAGTAGCTTAAAAAAATTAAACCCTAGAGATGAAGAAGTTGAAACAATTTTGAAACACCGTTTGTGGGGTTATAAATGGTATCCACTCTTGTACGAGATAACGTTTGAGTGACTGTTGTCTTAATATGGGTAAATATTCTGGGTTTTTAGTTAACTAGAAAATCTGTAAAGATAATAGTGTAACCAGAAGGAATCTTAGTATGTTTTTCCTTTCCCTTAAGAAGTCAAGAAAAAAGGGTTCTGAAACTCACAGTAAGGGTTTATATCCTTATTCTGCATGTGGCAGTGGAAACTTTTCTTGGCTTCTTATGTATGGTCTATGAAAGGAAGAGAATTTGTCCACCGTGCTGCACAGTAACAAGTATTTTCTTTACACTAGCAGATGTCTTGGTCACTTGAGGCACTAGTAGAAGACTTGGTTTGGGGGGAAAAATAGACATAGCGATACTGTTTAACTCAGTGCATGAGAGTATATGGAAACTACTTAATAATACGAACTTCCAAAATTCGCTAGGCAGCCTGCCTCCAATTTTGTGCTTCTGATAAGGGTGGTGACGTTGTTGGGACAGCCTTTGAGAGTTTGCAACAAGAAGCTTGCAGACGGGAGGGTCCTGAGCCCTTCTAGGGGTAGTGACACAGTCTGCTGTAGTCTGAGAGTTTTTAGGGGCCTCTAAGGCTGGTGTGCTGCCTGCAAGGGAAAGTTATTTCACCAGGTTATTGCCCAAAGTGATGTATGCCCGATAATTCACAAATCATTTTACCCCGGGATGCTTCAGATCAGGCTTGGAAAGACTCAAGTCGGACACATTCATCCTCTAAATGCTGTTGCTGCAGTTCCATAGTGACGATTAAATATGAAGCAAGCGCTCTTCCATACTGGAAGGTAAAACTGCATCATAGAGTGGTAGTCCTAGTACTGTGATTAAAGTAGTTTTAAATGAACTTCAGCTGATGTAGGTACCTACCTATCTGACATATTCTATCTTGCTGCTATAGTATGAATTCCATATCCTATTGGAATATGTTGGGTGTCCTTTTCAAAGGAGTGGCTCACACGCTTCCTGACTGCTGTTGACTCCCAGAATTTCCCAGCTAGCCACAAATGTTCTATCAACATTTTAAGCAGGAGAAGCTATTTACATTTTGCTCTTCAGGGATCCTGTGGACAATTTGCTGTGATCTGAGCAGTTTAACAGTTGGAATATAACTGGAAAACCTCTAGCATTGGAAGGCTGTGATGCTCATTTTAAGTAATTTAGGCTCTTTAAACCATCAGTATTCATTTGTATCATGATTTTGGGAGGTTGGGGGGGAAGGAAGGCTCATAAATGGATACCTCAGCATCTCTAACTTCAGCTCCCTGGAATGTGGAATATTCATTTTACTATCTGAAAAACAGGAAGCCTACAGCAATGGCTGGGCATAGAAATCTAGTATTCCTTGTTTGCTCTGCATTTTGTGGTTAACTACTTCAGCTGGACTAGAGATTGCATGAGGTTTGCAAGACTTGAGTCAAACATAAATATTATTTAAACAAATTTAATGAACAAATTAAGTATAGAATCCAACCATTATACTTTCAGATTTCATTACAGAAAGTGGCTATATGATTTTGTTATAGGAGGAAGACAGCTTGATTCATTTGCAATCTTCCAGTATCTCTCTTTAAGAACAAATGCAGCTGATTTTGGCTGTCGTTGGCGGGTAAATATTCCTTTCTTGTTCCCCAAAACACGTGTGGTCCCTGTAGAGAAGTTACAAAATAAAGCAAATATATGCAAAATACTCTTGTATTCCCTACTGTAAGCTGCTACGTGAGCTGTATCTGGTGAGGTGGAGCTATGTACCTCCTGCAGAAAGTCAGGTACAACTGGGAACTTGTCAAGGTTTACTTGCATCATCTTGGCAAGAATTAAGCTGCTGCAACTGAGCAATATAAATGCAATCCTTTGCATTTACAACCCTTAAGTCAGTGACAGTTAATTCTAAGTATACCCGTAAATTGAATTATAGTATCCTTACAGCAGAACTTTCTTCTGCTATTTAGTTGTAAGTTGATGACAAAAATGTCAATTATTAACCCCTCTCTATTTCTCTGTATTATCATTTAGTGGTATCCGCACAGTTTTTGCCTATTTTAGTCTTCATAGGAAACCAAAAGAGAAGTGCAACATACTGAGAGCATTAACTGCATTTATGTATGCCAACTTGTCTATGTTTTTCTTTTCCATCCTAGTATTTTAAACTAATACTACTTTTCTGACTGCTTCTCTGTGATTTACCTTTCTGTTTCTGTTATCTTTCTAATACCTATACTGGTGCTGTACAGATTTTTAACTGTATTTGTCTGCCTAAAATTAGCACTGACTGTTTACTGCCCTAACTCACTGTAGGTGGCATGTGTATACCCTGTTCCTTACCAGGTCTCCTTCTGAGTTGTAATAATTTAATTTCTAGGTGACTGTTTGCACTGTAGATTAAGCAATGCCCCTGCTTTGTGAACAGAGTGAACAGTGCTTTGTGAACAGAGTGTCATAGACAGTTGTCTGCTCTTCTGCATCTGGTCCTGTCTTGTTGAAGCTCTACGTCAGGTTAAGAATGCATTATTTAAGGTGCTCTACTGTAGGCGAAACATGGACAATTGAGATGCTTTCCTAAAGGCCAACTGAACCTCTGGCTTAGGGATTGCCAAGAGAGAAGTGACCTGAGTCTGATCACAAGCTTCCCTTGCTTTCTGCCCTAGGGCATTGTTTTGTGTTCTGGGATAGCACCTTTGCAGACAGGACACCTGAGACCTCAAGCTGAAGAGGATGCATTCAGTAGAGGCAGAACCATTTCTCTCGGCTCTGTGCTGTACTTTTTATCACAGAAACCAGCTGTGCTCCATCCCTTTAAGCAGAAGATCCCTTTGTTCTGCCCTACAGCACAAATATTCTTTATTTTAAGCCACAGGGAAGATGGAGAGTCTTTTGAAATATGAGCTTACCTTGATTAGTCATGAAATCAGCAAAATTCCAGATAAGCTCCCCAATCACATACTCCTTTCTCTTTTTGTCAAATACTGAATGGTACTCTCTTAGCAAAGCTTTCTGATACTCCTCACTGAACATAAGAGGTGGATCCTATAGTCAAGAGGAAAAAAAAAAAAAAGAGATGCATTTGAGTGGACATGACAATGTATCTCAGCAAAGCCTTCACATGTTAACTTTCCATTTTCAGGAGAATTGTTACCTGAAGACAAGCTTTATAATTGCTTGGTCTCTTAATGCAGTTGCAATGAACAGTGGCCACTTAGTGACACTTAGCACCTCATGAAAGTACAGGGGGAAACATGCAAAATATAAATATGCCAGCTCTACTTTTGGGGCAAAAATCCAGTTTTGACTGGTAACGGTGCTTTCTCATGATAAGATTAGGAGTGCTACCCTCTGCTATGCAGGGTTGCATGATGAAAGGAATGTCGTGTTCTCAGTGTTGTATCTTCCTAGCAGGCATTTTCTACAAACGCCAAAGCACAGATCTCAGAATGTGTCTTCTAGAGGATTAACCACATTAAGTATAAATTAACAAGTAGCTGTAGCCTGACTATTAAGATGATTAATTGCTAAACAAGTGCATTGTGGTTTAGGACTCAGTACGTGTTGCTAGGCATGTTTTAAACAGTATGAGTGGAGCTAATACCAGCAATTTGCAGGTGTTAAAAACCAAATGTCTGTGGCAAGATTTAGGAGAGAATAGTTTCAGCTTCTTGTTCAAAGCCCAAACTCCTGTTTAGATAGAATCTTACCTTTATGCTAGAATTGGTAGCAAAGCTTATTGATTTCAGTGCATCAGGATATCAATCCTGGAATCTTTTGGACACGTATCTGATGTGTCTTTGAATTAAAGGATCAGCAAAACTTAATTAGCAGAGAATGGTACAAATGAGTTGGACTAGTAAGAGTAGTGTGTTTTTTTTTGTCTAGTGCGTCTCAGCACTTACACTGTGAAGTCCAGGGATTGAGTCTGCTCCATATTCACTCTGGATAATGGGCTTTTGGTAGGTTTTATACCAGTTCTCAAACTGTGTCATGAGTTGTACTGGAATAACCTCCAGATGGCCCGGGTCGTGATACCAGGAGAAGTAACTATTTACGCAGATAACATCCACATAAGGAGCCTACAAAAAACAAAGTGAGAGTGTTTTGTCATAGGCTTCAAAGTAGGCAAGCTGCAATCATAAAGCTAATTTCTCCTTTTGGTTAATTTCAAGGAATGCAGGTTTTTTTATTCTAATAAAGCCTTTTTTTCCTTTTAACTCCGGCCTTCCCAAAGTAATCCCCTTTTCAGAACGGGAAGGGGAAAAAAAAGGCAAGATAAAATGAACAAGGTAACGGCAAGTCAATTTGGCAATTTCTTGCAGACATAGGAGGTCACAGCAGAGAATTAAACAAGATCAACCCATTTCAGCCTCAGGTTTGTTGAAGTGCGAGTTTCCAGGATGTCTCTGGCTTGCTGGTACATTTAGGCATACTTTCTGAGCATTCAAATGTGATGATCAAGTTAGTGCTCAACTATTTTTGACTAGCAACTAAAGTTGTGCATCAATGGTGCAATACAAGAGTAAGCATTCTGCAAGTTATATGCCATTTCTACCACATGGACAGTATGATAAAAGGGCATGAAGCCCACTGAAGACAAAGTGTTATATGTAACTTGTTCAATGTTCTCTTAACATGTTTTGTAATAAAAGAAAAAAGTTCTAATATCACATCAGTGTAAGAGACGTATTATTTGTGATTTGATTTTTTTTTTTTTTCCCCCCCCGCTATGTCTCCTTGGGCTCGTTGCATGGTAGTGGGAATGGGATGTCAGTCTGTATGAATGCATGAAATAACAGTAATTTTAAAGAGGTTTAAGCTTCAGTTTAAGAGCGCGTATAAGTCCTAACCATTACTAGGCCTAAACAATAGAATAGTGAAGCATGACAATTAAGATCCAGGGGGGTTGATTGTGCATACTTCCCTTGGGCAACTGTTCTTCCAGATTTTTGACAAACTACAGCTACTGGATAGAGTGCTTTGTACTTGAAACTGCAATGCAAAATTTCTTCTGCCTCTTCTGTCTGCTATAAATTCAGGGAGGTGGAGGAAGGGAACTTAAAACAATTGACAAAAAGAAATTTAGTGTATGAATTGAAAAGAAGGCTAAGAAAGTAAGTTAACTTACACCATGATCAAGAGCGTAATTGACATCTGTCACAAAGGTTACTGGTCTGGAGGGATCAAGAGCTTTAGTGTGAGCTATCACTGTCCTGTTTGCAAACAGTAAAACAGGAGGTCAGCAACGGTAAGGAGAAATTACTTCATCAAATGCTACCCCATTGCCTCAAGCTCCCTGTCCTTCCACCCCTTCAAGCAGGACCTTTATCCATCACAAAACTGGTTGCCATCCACATGTAAAAAGACAAGGTCAGAAACATGTCATGTTAGTTCGCTACAGCTAGTGCTTGGAAGATGGAGAATAGTCTGAAAAAATAAGATTTTTAAAAAAGGGGAAGGGAGATAGGAAGCTGCTTAACAGCTCTTAACAGAGAGGAAGCTCTTAGGCACTGGCAGGCAAGGCAATCACAAATTTGCTGCTTGTGAGGAACCTTAAATGATGGAAATGAGACAAGAGAAGGGTTAAGTTCTATTTCTACTTCAAAATTCAAGTAGGATGGGTGATTTTGAAGAGTGAAAGTTCAGAGTTAGCTTTTAATTCACCAAGAGCTACCTAGAATAGTCTACTCTTCCCTACTGACTGAGATTAATATTGGCTACCCAAAGCTTAAATCTCCTTAAAATCAAGGGGGCTGCAGAGACTTGAAGCAGTGGCTTTTGAGTTAGACCCCTATGTAACAAATAAGTAGTATTTAACTGAAAAAAGAAATCGGAATTAAGGCTAAGTATTTTTATAAGCTTGATGTAATTCTCAGACTTAAGCAGACAGAACTTAGCGCCTACTTTCCTTAGCAAGGAATGAGCAGTTCCCATGAGGTCTGCTTTTCCTTGACCTTCAGCTCAAGAAGAAATGCTCCCATCAAAGAGACTCGTGATAATTCTGCAGAGCTTTACGGGTTCAAAAATAACCAGCTGGGACCATTGTGGGGTTCTGAACTCCAGCTATGATCAGTGTACGCAGCAGCTGTGCTTTCTGTTTTTGTGTGGGTACTTTTTCAGGTTTCCCTGGAGATGCTTGTCATCTTTTTACTACTACTTCGTACTCCTCCGAAGGAAGACGATACGTTATGTGCCAAGAGGGCTCGGTGCACAAGCACTTACTTGAAGTAATAAGCGGCAGGAGGCAGCTGTGAAGCGGGCTCGTTGGCCACTGACCACATCACCACCGAGGGCCTGTTCTTATCCCTGCGGACCAGCTCCTCCATCACAGCAAGATGGTGTTGCAGCGACTTGTTCCCGAAGCTCTCGCTTAAAGAGGAATTGAGACATGGTCACCCTATAAGTGTATGAAATTCACTCCCCGGACCTGTTTTGGGGTAACCTGAGTATCCGAGGCACGTAGGCACCACCAAGCCTTGCTGTGGGTGACACAAAACAAGGTTTCTGTCCTATTTCTCCAACGCCCGCCGCACAGGCGAGCACAGTTTGGTCTCATCGACCAAGTTTGCTCAGAAAAGAAACCATGAATATGTGGCAAAATGCCTTCTGGTTGCCCAACTTAGTCGCATTCAGAAATGCAACGGGCTGATTTCCACACAGCAAAGTACGTCGGCTCCCGGGCCAAGGCGAGCCCAGCGCGGCATGGAGGCACTGAGGGGACGGTGTCTTTTGCAGCTGCCCAGGGGAATGGGGAGAGGCGGGAGGCGCTTACGCGGTTTTGATGCCCACACCGGGGCACTCGTCGATGACCACGATGCCGTAGGCATCACACAGATCCATAATCTCCTCGGCATAGGGGTAGTGGCTGGTGCGGAAGGAATTTGCCCCCAGCCAGCGCAGCAGGTTGAAGTCCTTCACGACCAAGGGCCAGTCCAGTCCTTTGCCGCGGATCTAGGGGAGGGAAGAGGGCCGTGGCAGCGCGCTGCACCCCACAGGGCAGCAGAACAGCGCAAGAGCCACGGGCTTTAGCCTGCGGGGTGGTGTTAGCCAGGGGCCACCCATTCCCACTCACCCCCGTGGCACCCTGTGCAGTCACCCCGATGCTCCATGCCGTGCTTGCGCTACCGGGCATGGAAGGCCCATGGAGACGCAGGATGCGGAGGAGCCTCCGCTGCAGGGAACGGGCTGCAGCCCTGGGCACCCGCCATTTTGTGGCCCGGGAAGACGCGCCCGGCGGCAGCGCCGCTCAGGGGAGCGGCCGTGGCGGAGCCAAGGGAAGGGAAGGGGCGGCATGGAGGGCGGCGGAGGCGGCCCTGCCTGTGGCGCTGAGGCCGCCCCGTGGTCGGGCCGCGCCTTGCAGCCCGCTGGCACTTGGCTCTGCGTCGGGCTGCCGGCTCGGAGCTCGCCTGGCTGGCACCTCCACTGGGAATCCACGGCTCCTCCATCATTTCCTCGCCTGCATGCCCCCAACGGCCATCGCCGCTGCCCAAGACCTCCCCAAACCCCCCTTGAGCGCTACCTGCATCCCCCTGGCAGCTCCCAGCCCCAGGAGAAGGGAGTGAGGAAGTAGCCCCTGGGGACAGCCAGAGCGGGGGCCCAGCACGATGTGCCCCCCGTGCACTTACGTCCGCGTCCTCGTGCTTGTTGACGCCGTGGAAGTAGAAGGGCTTCCCGTTGATGAGGAACTGCGTGCTGGTGACGTGCACGGTGCGGATGCCCACCGGGAGCACGTAGACGTCCTCCAGCTGTGCCCCACTGGCCTGCGCCTGCAGCTTCACCTGTAGCCCCCCAGGGAAAGACATGGGGGAGCTGACGAGTGAGGGGCGGATGGCCCTGGTCCTGGGAGCTCCTGCCTCCCCTCACCTCACTCATCCCCTCTGGAAAGGTAGCAGTTCCACCACCTTCTCTCCTGCACCTCAGCTGAAAAGTTATTTGCTCCCTGGTGCTATGAACCTGGGCCTCCCAGCAGGTCACCTGCCCTCTTTTCTGCATCTAAGCATCTCTGTTCAGCCTTGACTCGCACAAGACTTCTCCCAGTTTGTGATATTGAAGCTGAGGCCTCATCTGGCGCACAGTGGGAAGCAAGCTCGCCACATGGCAGAGCATGTGAAAGAGATGAGCGGCCGAGAGCTTCCTCTCAGCTTCTGCAACATCTCCCCCCATGTGTGGTCTCAACTAGTCCTTAGTCCAAGAGATGGATCAGGCCCTAAGTGGGATGGGTGAGCACCTGAGAGCGTGCGTGCCTGTATCCTGTGCATGACCACCTCTCTTCATCTCACTGACTGATGCTTCTGTTCAGCACACACAAAGCTGGCAATGCTTGATCGACCACAGCATGATCAGCAAGGCCATTCCAGGCATGTGAACAGGATCCACGGGAGAGGAAGGGACACATGCCTCAATCCTATTAGGACAACGAGAGGAAATGCACTCAAAGGGAAAAGTGTCACTGTTACCTCTAAAGAATAGCGGTATCCAGGGTTCTCGTGCATCAGATAAGGCCACCAAAGATTTGGATCCAGGACTTTTAATTCTCCAGCTGGCCCTTCACCTGTAGCAACCACCTTCCCCTCTTGATCGCGTAAACTCAGCGACAAGGAATAGAGTGCGCTGCCGACTACTGATACCTGATATTGCACCATGGCTAGTTCAAAGATAAGAAGAGAGGTCAGCAACTGATATGAAAGGAAAATAAATGCCTGTAAAGTCTTCAGATGCAGCAGCGTTAAGAAAGGAAGGAGAGAGGTACAGCAACAGTAGAGACACACACATTAATTGTATGAAGCATAGCCTGTCTGTCTTGAAGTCTAGAAGTTTCCAAAAGGATTTGAATATCATATAATTCTGTTACTTAGAGATAATTCTGCCTTAGGAGGCAGGAGGACTGTCCCTGGTGGAAAATTCTAATTCCAGAAGCACCTGAACATCCTTTCATGTAACTGTAGTATCTTTCAAGTACTTATGCTTTTTCCCATTGTTTTCTCAAAACTGCTGAGCTGTGCAATAAAGCAGTTGAGGCTAAAATAGAAAGTTGCCGCAAAACAAATTTAATCTGACCAGAAAGTCCTTTGAAGGAAGTTTCTCTACTGCTCTTGTCATCTCCATTTTGGAGCCTGAGGTAGCTGCTGCCATTGCTCTGGACCTACCAACGTTCTCTGATGAAGTAGTTGTCACAGTAATATCATCTATGTAGACAGAGGGAGTGGTGTAAACTACGACCGGGCGATGGATTCCAGCATAGTTAAAGAAATCAAACTTGAAGTTCTGTACAAAATAGTTCTTTGGGTACCTGAGTGAGCAAGAGAGGAGACGTGTTCCATTACACAAGAGCTGAGGGCAGCACGTGTACGCCAGCAATGTGCTGATAAAACAGTCTTTGCAACAGAATGGATTTATCTTTTGGCAGTGCTATTCATGCTATGGTGGTTACTAGTTAATGAACATCTACTGCACTGAGTAGGTCTAATGGATCTTTTACAGTAGCGGATAGCTGCAGCTCCAGTTGAATTTAACTGTCTCAATCTGCCACTGACTCAGCTTGGCAAATCACTGAATTTCAGTTCCTCACATATAAAACCTAAAAACATATAAAACAGACACGCTAATTCAGTGTAGCTTTCTCACAGCATTGAAGCTGAAGCTCCTCCTTGCTTGACTGATCAATAGTCATGAATACAAGCTGTGCTTCTGTAAATTACTGGGAGGCTCTTAAGAAACAGCAGCTGAATAAATCCCCATTCTGCAAGCCCTGTGATAACTGTATTCTAGCAACTCACCTGGATGCGTCATTCATGAACTGAATTGAGCCTGGAGGTAGAGTGTGGGGTGTCAGCGTGTTGTTGATCGCCACCGTGATGCGGCAGGGTGTCCCCGGGCTGCCCTGGATGACGCTGCTTATATCTGCTTCAAAAGGGAGGTGCCCCCCTTCGTGCTCTGCAACTTGCACTCCGTTGACCCACTGCAAGAGAAGAGGCCTGTGAGTTGGAGTTGCAAGGGGAGGATTCTGTGGAAAGCACGGCAGAGAGAAGGGAAAGAGCACAGCAAAGGGCAGGATTCCCAGGAGCACTGAGCCTTGTTCGTGCCTCGTAACTCTGAGGGCTTAATCCAGCAGCCCTGCCTTTTCTGGGAGCGAGGCCTGGGTCACATATAAGCATCACTGTGAGAAACTGTTTGGGGGAGGTCTGTACCTCATCCCTTCTAGGCCAGTGACAAGAAAATGGTTTAGTTACTAGTCCTGATATTGGAGAAGCACAGAAGAGAGACCTGGTAAACATGGACATGCATTTGTTCCAACTTCTCCCAACTTCACAAGGACTCGAGTTCTTTCCTCCTCTCCTGGAGGAAAATGGTGTGAGGTAAGAAACAGCACCCTGATAGAACAAGGCGAGCAAAGCCAGGTTTGCTGAACAAGCCAGGGCCAGGATTTTAGTACGGCGTGATCCTGGGAATGTCCGCCGTGCTGCGGGCGCAATGTACCACGATGGAGTAGTAATGGGCACTGCCGAAGCGCAGCACCACCCTGGTGTTGAGATCGTCCTGCAGCCAGCGGCGAGGAAGCAGCACCTCCTTCTCATACCAAACCCAGCCGATGTAGTTCTCCAAGTTGGGATCTTGGGTGATGTCGTTGAAGCTGGCAGGCACCGGCATGTCGATCACAGGACCGGTCTGATGGGAAGTGCACAGAAAAGGAGGACACGGGTAATTTTAAGAAAGATATTAAACTTGTCAGAATATTTACTGACTTGACTGTCCAACCTACACTTCTGGACAGGTCTGGCTCCACTCTGCAAAGTGTCCTTTGCAAAGTGGAAACTCCTAGAAGTAGCGGGTAAGAAGCTGGTGTATTCTGTTGCATGTCCTATGTTACACCAGGGCCAAACTGAGTATACATCTTCTCCTGCCAGACAAGCTTCATCCTACGAGGTGAAGCTGCTAATACCTTTATTCTCTTTCTTGGTTTACAATAAGGAAATGCTTTAGTTAATGGCTTTGGTGACAGAGAAGCTGGGAACTGGAAAAAAAATATATATATATATAGATATATGGCCAGGTCATTGTTCAACATGAAACTACCCAAAACCTGTAACCCTCCCTGCGCGGCTCTAGCTCTTTGGAGTGCAGTGCTCGCTGCTTTCCTGCAGTGTCAATTCAGTTGCCGTTTTCTTTAACATAAGGGCTATAGGCCAGCAGTGTCGTTATCTATTACCACTCCTTGGTCACCATGTGCTATTGTGAAATCTCGCTGTTAATTTTTAGCATCTTCAGTTCTTGTGATGTTCCGCAAATGGGCATCGCAGCCGCTCGCATCTGGAGCGCTTCCCCCTTTTGGGGCAAGTGTTTCCGCGAGCGGTGGAACTGGGAAGTGTCCCGGGAAGAGCATCATGTGCAGGGCTGACTCAGCTCTGAACCGCACTGACACTGCAGAGCAAACCCAGCTCCTCTATCAGACACCCAGGGGAAAATAATAATAAAAACTAAAAGCAAAGAAGCTTTAACGGTGAAGTGGATTTTCTAGCATCTAATCCTGGGATTCCCGAGCAGTGGGTCTCCATCAAGAAGACTCTCTGATGTCTAAAGCAGGTTGTGCTGCCACTTCTTGCCCTCCCTTTTTTTGGGGAGGGGGCTGCTCTAGGATCCCTCCCCTCGGTCTGCTTTCACACCTACTCTCACAAGATTCCTAGCAGTTTTGTATCCTGGTGCCCATCTCCTTCCACAATGTGGCAAAATTGCCCCAGGAGCTAGAGGAGAAGCCTTGGACTAGCGTTCAGGAAAGGGGGTAAATTTCACAGCATTTTAAGCCTCCACCAGAGTTAGTTTCAGCAGCGTTTGGTTACAGAGGAACAGAACACAAACAGATTAAATGAGCAGTGAGCCCGGGAGCGCGTGCAGGGGAAGGGTCTCCTTCGTGCCGCGCGCCCCCAGCGCTGCCCTGCGCCTGCAGAGCCCCCCGACCCGCCGGAGAGGCGAGTCCCGCCCGGCCGCCCTACCTGCCGCAGCGGGCGCTGGAACCAGCGCTGCGCGAAGCCGGCCGCCCTGCCCGCCGAGAAGTCGGCGCGGAAGCTCCACAGGCCGCCGAGCTCCTTCAGCTCGCGGGACGGCGTCTCGCGCGGGTACAGCAGCCCGCCCGCCGCCGCCCGCGCCGCCGCCGCCAGCAGCAGCAGCAGCACCGCGCCCCGTCCCCGCGGCCAGCACCGGCCGCCCGCCGCTGCCATCTTCCTTGTGGGCAGCGCAGCGCGCGGGGCCGGCGCCGCCGCTGCCATCTTCCTTGTGGGCAGCGCAGCGCGCGGGGCCGGCGCCGCCGCTGCCATCTTGGCTGTGGGCAGCGCCGCGCCGGGCTGTGCTTGCGCTGCCCGATCCCGTGCGCTTGGCTTTGCCACCCGCAGGGCACCGGAGCAGCGGGGCAGGCAGGCAGGCACGGCGGGAGGAGTGTGTCATGCGGCCCACAGGCAAAAGGGGGAAGTGTCCTCGATTGGATTTTAATTCTGCAGAGCGTTGATCTGCAGCCTGTTTCCTGCCCCTGGGAGAGGAGCGGGCAGCCTCTGTGAATGCAGGGAGCAGCTGCCACCGCTTGCACGTCTGACTCGGCGACAGAGGCAGGAGCTCAGTTTCTTGCAAAACAGCAGATGTGAGAGCCCTGGTGGTGCATGAGGATATCAGAAAGCAGTAGGGAGGCTGGGAAGCAGCAGCGATCAGGACCTGCTCCTTGGCTAGGGGTGAGGATGCTATCATCTACTATGACCACCCTCTTCTATCTTCTAATTGGCAGAGCCCTCCCTTGCTTAGCACTGCCTCCCAAATGCTGGAGGTTTGCTGCTGAGAGGAAGAGGACATCTCACCAGCAAGGCCCTCCAAAGATACCCAGCGGCATCCAAAGATAAAAGGTTTGTGATGGGGCAGGACAACCGTGAGCTGTGGAGGAGCAGAATCCCTTGCACCCTGTTGGTGTTGGGTAATGGTGACATCTGTCCCCCTCAGCTAGGCATACAAAAGTGCTTCACCCTCCCTAGCTAACTTTGCTAGGGAGGGATACATGTGTTAAAGCAGAGAAACACTGCAGTAAGCAAAAGAGAACTCATTCCTTATTAAGGCTTTCCACTTCTCATCTTTTCCAATGAACCTTTTGCATCTTTTCCAATGAACCTTTCCTCAGGGTCATGAAGGCCAAAGAGGCCCAGCTCAATATTGCCTAGAGAAGAGATATGTAAGCCAGGAGTTTGAGTGAACTACAATGCACCAGGGTGCTTGTTAACTCCAGACCAGTGGGATAAGCGCAAAGCTGCATACACGGGATATCTCCCCACACTCTAAGCTTGTTCCTTCAGCTTCTTCAGCAGCTCCCTCAGCTGCTCAATCTGGGTGGTCACGCTGCTCTTGGCGGTACCTCCTAGGGCTGTGTACTGCTCCACGCTGTTGATGACGTTGAAGACCTGGGACACGTCGCTGGCAAACAGAGGGCTGGGAAGGCAAAGAGAAGAGGAGTGAATAGAGAGTGATGGGTGCTCTTTGCTGCCACATACTATGGCAAAAAGCAGAGAGACAAACCTGATGCTCTTCAGGTCCTCCAGGGTGAGATTGTTGATGGTGATGCCCTTAGTCTCAGCAAGGTGGACAGCTTTTCCAACAGCAGTGTGGGCTTGTCTGAATGGCATCTGCAAGACGCAGCAGAGACAACGGTCAGTGAGCAGGTAGCTGGAGAGCAGACTCAGAGATGGACACGTGCTCTCTCTTTTTTGGGGGGGTTGTTTGGTTATTTTGCTTTTGGGTTAGGGCAATGCAGTCTGACTCCGAGTTTTCTGAGATGTGAAAGAGAAGGCACTAGGAGACAGAACTACAGGAGTAAATATTGTTTTCTACAGTAAAATACTACAGCATTGTGAGTCTAAAGAAACCAAGCTCAGAGTCTCCCCGTGATACTTACTCCTTTACGAACCAAGTAGAGAGCCAGGTCAGTGGCCAGCATTTCAGGGGTCAAAGCCTTCTCCATGTTCTCCTTGCTGATCTGCAGAGGGAAGGGTCATAGGGAGACATCACCGTCAGCTCCTGCCTGGGACACACTGCTGTCACAGGGAGGGCTTTTCATCCAGAAGGGAGCAGGCTCTGCAAGGCCCTCAACCCATGTGACCCCAGAGCAGAATGGATCTGAGCAGCTGATGAAGGGGCTGCAGTGCCCCGCTGGGTGAGTGTGGAACCAGGCTCCCTTCCCGCTGTCAGTCCATCAGGAATGGCATCCTCGTGGATGCAAGCAGGGACAGAGTGTGTGAAGTAATGAGGAACCAAAGCCTTACTTGGAGGGTCGAAATGACTCCAGTGGCGACCTGCAGCACAGCAGTCACGGTGTCCACCACATCAAAGACAGCCTCCTTGTCCTCCTGTGTGATAACACGGATGGAGAGGGGTTGCAGTAAGGCAACCTGAAGCAGCTGGAAAGCCGGCAGCCTGAGCAGCGAGGCCAGCAGAGCAGTGCAGACACCTGAGGGGTTCCCCAGGGCTGCAGCCTGAGCTGGAGCATGCAGGGCCTCATCCCCTTACTTAGGTCCTGCACAGAGGGAGCTAGTGGCAAGAACTGCTTGCAGCTCAGGAGACACTTGTGTCTTTTCAGAAAAATAGACTGAGAGCAAATATTTGTTTTACCTGCAGGTCCTTGTTGTAGGTGCTTGGAAGTGCTTTGAGAACCGTGATAATAGAGACAAGCTGCAGGAAAGAAGAGGAATGGAAAGGCACTTAGCAATACGAAGGGATGCATGTTTCAGCAGCAGTGACACAGAGCTAAGACCAACACATTTCTTCACAGAGTGCCTTGAAGAAGATCTTCCCAGGGCAGGAGATATTGTCCCTTCCAGAGCTTCAGTAACCCGTCTCTGAGCAGCTCCCCCATTCCACCACCTCAGCAGCCTCACCCGTCCAAGCACACGGCCTGCTTTCCCACGGATCAGTTCCAAACTATCAGGGTTTTTCTTCTGAGGCATCAGACTGCTGCCAGTGCTGAAAGTAAAAGTTTGGATTTAACAGAGAAAAAGGCTTCTCGGTCCCTGGAAAATGCTATCTGCAGGGATAAAGTGCAGACAGGCCTTGCCATGTGCTCGCCCAGCTCACTAGGAGCAACACATAGTTCTTCTTGTATTGGACATGTATGTAGGTGTAGGTGTAGGACAGCACTAATTGCTTGTAGTTTCTTGTATTTCCCAGAGCCAAGCCTTCAGTTTTGGAGTTTTTTGTTGAGTTCTTATACACTCCTGCCTTTAACTGTGTCCGAAAGAGGAAGAAAAAAAGGAGGTTTCCACCCAATGCCCTCCAGAGGTGGTATCAACAGGCAAGACTAAGGACGCTGTGGTGGTGCCACCCTGAGGAAGAGGAAGGGCATTGGGATTGCAAAGCAGGGCCCTTCTGGGAAGGGCTTTGGCAGGAATTCCCAGCAGAGGAGGAAGCTCTTTCTGCCTGCCCTTCTACAGCCTGATCCTGCCAGCAGTTGCTGGGGAGGAGTGTCCCCTGAATACAGATTTAAGGAACTTACTGGAATTGGTAACAAAGAGTCATTGAAGTGAAAGGGGGAACTGTTCAGGAGACTTTTGCATCAAAGCAGCCTTTAAAGGCCCCAGAGTTAATTCTAGTGTCAGCCTTGTGCACCAGGCACCCCCTTAACATCCACGAGTCTCCTTCAGGAGTGGGTAACTGAGGAGGAAAGACAGAGGTGAAGAAAAATCTGCCTAGAAACCCAGAAACCTACGTGAAGGCATCAGAGAGGGTCACAAGGCCGAACTCGCTGGTACTGTAGATGATGAGATCTTCAGCCAGCCTGCTAAGGTGGGTCATCAGCAGGGTGGCAACAAAGAGGAATTCCACTGCAGAGAAGGAGGGATATCAGGAGGCGATAAACACGTCTGTTTGCTGACAAGCTAGGGAGATTAAGTATAGAAACACTTACAGTGGATGGACTATAAAAGATATGAAGTAATTTATGTCTCAGTGCAATCCAGAAAGGCTAGAGACACTGGAGCTGAAGACAGCAGGACTTTTGCTGAGGATCGATGATTTGTGGCAAGCCCACATTATATTGCTCTGTGAAAAGGAAGTCTGCTTCTTCATGTAGAGTTTCAGTCTTCCTTAGCATGAATGACTGAGCAACTCAACCTTGGTAAGCAAGCACTGCTGTTAGCAGGGCAGTTATGAGTGAGGTGTGTATCCTAATCTAGGCAGCCTATGGATGCCAGCCTATATGCCAGTGTGATTACTTCCTATTGAGGCCTTTCAGTCCCCTTGTTAAGTCAGGCTAATAGGGTAACTCTTAGAAGAACGGTTATTAAATGAAGGAGGGAATAAATAATAGAGCTGTGCTCACCTACGTAATCCCTGTCGCTGATGGCATCCATGCTGTTCAGGGTGATGGAAGCAAAATCCAGCTCTGCAAGGAAAGAGATGGGCAGAGGGGTTCAGCCTTGGCAGGGCTGGAGCTCGACCGCAGCTGCTTTGGACAGCGGGCAGGTAAGTCCTGGAGTAGCCCGGGGGACACAGACACCTCCCAAGTGTTTTACTGAGCTGGGGCTTTTGTTACCTGCCCCAGGCTGCGCTTGAGGTGGTTGTGTCTGTGCTCCCACCTTGCAAGTCCTTCGGAAAGAAGGATCTGGCTCCAAGACAAGGTCCTGCAGAGGCTGCCTTTATTACCCGGCAGCCCTGTGCTGGGGTTGCACAGTGCCTGTCCAGCTGGTGTGCGGGGAATGTGTCCCTGTGTCCCTGCCTCCGAGACACTAGGGCTGGACCCGCAGTCGTCGGGAGACACTTACCGCTGCGCAGCAGCTCTCTGTCAATGTCCAGTGGGTTTCCAGCCAGAGCACCGCTGCGAGGAAGAAAGGGACAGAGGTGACGCGGACATCCTGAGTGGTCTCTCTGCAGTGGGCATCGCGGGGGGAACGCAGAGCTTACCTTCCCAAAGGCAAGATATTGACCCTCTTCTTGATCTCTCCCAGGCGCTCAGAGTCACGGGTCAGTGCAACAGCGTGGCTAGGAAAGAGCACGAGAGATGAAGCATCTGAAGGCCCTTTCCTCCCCAAGCACCTGACTGTGGGGTCAGAATGAGGAGGTGTCGACCAAGGGCCACTGCAGCTGCAGCTTAGAAGGTGGGAACAGAAGGTGCT